AAAGTTTTTAAATTTCATAATATTATTAGTTGCATTAGGCATAACGATCTTAGTGCTGTTAAGCTGTTTACAATCTTCAGAATGCTTACTCAAATAAGCTTCACTTGAAAAATAATTTAGACACCTTTCACAAATCCATTTTTTGTGATCTTTCCAACCTATTTGTCTACATATTAGGCGTGACAAATTTTTTATATACGCAAAATGATAAATAGTGTCAGCATTCCAATTGCAAACATCATTATTGGAAAACATAAGTAAATTGATTTTAGGCGTGAAATTAGTTTTACTAAGTATCAATGGTACAACTTCATTCATTCGATTGCCTACGAGTGTGAAGACATTTATCGCTAGTTTGTTCATAATCTCAAATTTGGGTATATCTTTCAAATGTATAGGAAATCTAATATTGTCGTATTTCAATACTCTACTGAAATGAGGATATGATGATTGTCGTGCTACATTTTTTTCTGCAGGATACAACGCGCTTACAACTGACCACAGAAAGCAGTAATTATCATTATTTTGAATATTGATGACACTTTTTTTCTTTTTTATAAATGTTGGTGTAGGAACATAAGTTGAAACACCAACATTTATGGGACAAAATCTATTAATATTCACTTTCAAATGTAAAATTTCCAACAAAGCCCATCCAGAATCACGTTCTTGGAATTCTTCTAATTTTGTTAAAACTTGATCAGTGACATAAACTTTATACCACTCTTTTAAATTGGTATTTTTATCGATTATATTATTTTTTGTAGCAAAATGTTTGATCGATCTTTCAGCAGTCTGAGGTTTAATGAACACACTATAAAAACAACGTTACATTTTAACATACAAGTATCAAGCTGTTTTCTTATTTGTATCGCAAAACTTTTGAACGCTCTCTTGAAAAATAATTTTGGATCTTTTATTTTCAAATTAACTATAACGCCTGACTTAATTCTATTGTTAAAGCATGAATCCACATTTTCCCAAACAAGTTCTCTATTTTTGTTTTTACGATTTATTTGACATCTGAAAATTGCAAGGTAACTCTTAAGAAGTGACAAATTAGACTCTATTTTTGAAAAATTTTTAACACAATCATACCTATGTTTGATACAATTATCAAGCATTCTAATACATTTTTTATCTCTTTACTATAAAAATTGTATCTGTTTTTGTCCTAACTAATCTACTCACCATTTCTATTCTTCTAACAAATTCGTCAGACATGGCATCGATTACTTTTTGGCTACTCATTTTGTTTCTTCGGAGATCTGTGCAGATGGTTAAACGTGAGATCACTGATGATAACTGTGCTCAAGATGCTGGCTTAAATACAGTGAAAATCTAACAAACATGCCTATTTTTTTTCACTGATACTGAATCATACGAATATACGATTTTGTTTGGAAAACATCCTACGCACATGCAGATCACATGGAGAATAACGATGATGACCCTCTCTCCTCTCCTGACATTGATATCAATATTTTGTTTGGATAAACATGCACACTGCAGAAAAATCTAATTTTTCCCTTGATATGGAGAATGACGTAGATGATGATTACCGTCGTCGTCGTCCTCGTCCTGACATTGGATATCAATTTTGTTTGGAAAAACATGCACACATGCAGAAAAATCTAATTTTTCCCTTGATATGGAGAATGACGTAGATGATGATTACCGTCGTCGTCGTCGTCTTCTCCTGACATTGGGTATCATGCAATTCTGGAATCCTACGATTTTGTTTGATCATAACATCCATCTTACATTTCTATGCAGTTGATATGGATGATTTTTTCCTCAAATATCTGTATAAATTGCTAGTGTGTGTAGGCAGTCAGTATCAGTTTCAAGTGAAAACTCATCGAACTGCTACTCTAACTTACAATGGCAACAACACCAACAACCATAATTGTGTTCACGGAAGATCCAGTGAATTTACCGATAAATGACCTCTTGTTGGTCATAAAGGAATTATTTCAGTAAGTAACATTATATATTTATCTTTTCTCTCTCTCTCTCTCTCTCCACTGTTTTGCTATTGCTATTGTGTTATTATTATTGTTGTCCTTCCGCACATTATGGTAATGTTGTGGATGGATGGATCATGTTTGAAGACACTCTAAAGCATCCCAAAAGAAATAAAACAATCACCTGGTCTGCCAGTAGATATCAAGTTCTATTCATCATATCCTCAGAGCTAAATTATGTTAAGTCACAAAAGTATTATTGCGAGAAAAACATGAGTTTACAGGGTTTTTTTTTGTATGGTTTTATTTGATTGCAATTGCACGATTTGCAATTGGAGATTTAAATCAGATATTCGACAATAGTTTACTTTTAGGTCTGAGATACACATATTATATTATTCTTATTCTTTTTTTTTCTTTTCAACAGATACGGTGTCAGAGAGATCAAAGCCAGTGGTGACAAAATATTTGTCAAATTGACCTACTCCCCAAGAGCAGCGACGTTAAAGCGGAAATTCGGCTTGCTGCCTATCAAATATCTTCGAACTAAATTGGATAAAGATGCAGAATTCCAAGTATTAGAACGAATAGTTAAAAAATATAGATTTAATTTATTAGACGAGCAGTTAGAAGATATTAATAGGCAGCAAGCGATAAAGGATCGACCAGGGACAAGTGGTGGTGGTGATGGTGGTGGAAGTATGCAGAAGAAGAGAAAATTGTATCTAGAGCCACCTGTCCTGCAACATGTGGAAAGGATGAGGAGATGAGGAGGAGAAGGAGGAAGAGCATGAGGAGCAGCCCAGGCAGATGCATACGGTTGGTGCAACACCATCATCAGCAGCAGCATCAACCTCAACTGGTAGACGTGGTGGTGGTGGTGGTGGTGGTGATAATGATGATGATGATATTGTTATTGTCACAAAATATATTTTGAATAAAAAACTGATTTCTTCACAACTAATGTTTTATTCACAGAAAAACACACACACACACACATACATACATACATACATACACACATACACACTGTTTCTATACAATACAAGTTCAACATATTTTTCAAAAAACTTTTACAGTACTATTTAATGGATTATATTTTACAAGACGATCATGTAATATCAGACAAAAGGCAGTAGTATTAGGTGGTATATTTACTGCCGTTTCAAATTCCAATCTAATATCAACAGAACCCGATTTTAGTGTCTCGTTTTGCCTACTACAGTCAATAACAAAAAGCGGGGTTGCATCAATGAACTGTTTCAAGTTTTGACACGGCTCACTGGAATTTCTATAATAATAAGACTGCTGAAAGTTCACATACATTTCATACAAGATACTAAAATAATTTCTGCTCATATTAAAAGTTACATTGTCATATGGATAAATTTCAGAATTCAAAAATAATTTGATGTTGCTCAGGTTACAGTGATCAAAGTGACTCAAGTTTTTAGTCAGCTGTCCTTTCCGATCAGTTTGAAAAGCAACAATAACGAAACGTGGTTTTTCCAATTGATTGGTAGCCTTGACATTCCATGTATGTTTATTTGTCTGTTGTAAAACGGGGTACTCATGCAACTCCCAACTCCGGAATGCTAGTTGTAAATCTCTTCCTTTCTCTATGTACTTCATAAGGTGTAATTTTTCGGTATCAGCAACTTGAATGTGTGGAATTCTCCATAGTATTCTGTACAGATCTAAATGAGGTTTCTCGCTAGATGTTGAAGTTATAATTGCATTCACATCTGTGGAGCTTCTTATAAGGACCAATTCCTGTCTGATGTTGATTAGTACTTTTTAAAGTCTTCAAAAAACCCATGAGATTTTTCAGTGGAATCGTTACACTAAAATAACCTTCACTGTTCCGTATTTCGGGTAAGTCTTGATGATTCCAGCCTGCATGTTGGTAACTATTACCTTCATTGTTTGTGAAAGATACCAGTCCTTTAATGGTGGTTGTTATACCAGGATTGCGAACTCTATCAACAACTATACCTCCAATTTCATATCGCAATTCATCAAATAAAAATGATACAAAATTATTTACGAGGCGTAATGTTGGTGACCATTTCTTCTCCTTTGCCTCTACTAATCTTCCTTCAATGTACAGTGAGCTATTACAAGGTAGTGTATAGATATCTTGTGTTTGTATTGGTATTCTTTTCATCTGAATTATTGAAAGTTGTATTAGCGTATGGTGGATGGCTATGCATTTCACAATTGGTAATTGAATTATCCATAAGAATATTTTCACCTATGTTGAGAATATTAAAGCTCATCTTTTTTTTTTTTTTATCAAACAGCTACACTTGAGATGGATGAATAACTTTTGTAGTTCAGAATAAATTGCTAGTTTTATGCGTAATATCAATCCGGCAGTCCTGCTGCTGCTGCTGTTGCTACTATTAATGTCACTATTGACTGTTTGTTCTTGAAATTCGTTAGCCACACTTATGCAATCACCTTAAAGCCAAGCAACTGTAGAAATTGTATATTTTCAGATGTTAATGTCTTGCTCTCTTGTTTGCTACTAACTGTTTTACCAACATGAATCTCTTTATCAATAGGTGTTGATCTGTTTTGACCTTTAAAATTGCTGTTGTTGGTGCTATTGTTGTTAGCTGAACTAAACGGTACTGCAATATTGTAAAAGAATACCATACTAAAGCTCCCTCAAATGTACTCTTATCGTTATCACTTCTCCTTTGAAATTAACCAAATTTCCGTCTTGATCCACTACTTTAAGCACTATTTCATCAATAATGGCTATTTATTGGTAAATAGATGACATTTGATACTTTTTCTATTATGCGATATCCACTAGGCACGTTAGGGTAAAACATATGCAACGTGTGAACAGCATGATCATTTCTAAAAGAATTCGTTATCAGATTACATTCCACACATAGAGAGTTCACTTTGGAAACATTTACAGGAAAATCTGAGATGTGTAGTTTGTGTGGACTTAATTTCCTCTTTCTAAACCCTAATAACTCACCTATTGTACCATTTTGCTCAAAATCAATTAGTCGGTTGCTTTTAATTTCAAACCGTAAGGTATTTAAATTACTTCGCATATGGAGTTGTATGTCAGTTTGTTTCTCATCATCTTTGGTAATTGCATTTGAATTTAGAGATCGTTTCTGTGGTTTCTTTTTTTAATTTCACTTACCCTTGGTTTTATTCTCTCGTTAAGAAATGCTATAATGTCTTTTATTTCATAACTACCTTCGGGAACTGTTAAAACCTCATCATCAATATGGAACTTATTATTTGTTATATCTATGTTGGGTATTGTGTTGAAAGTTAAAAAATCAATAAGTCCTAAAGCATACGTTTTACTACTGTCGAGTACTATAGGTGGATAGATTTTAGCTGATAACAGACTCTCTAGCAGATAAAGTAAACGTATACATCATACAGATATGAACCGATGAATAGCCATACATGAAATAAACAAGTGTCATTATGGTAAGCAGTATTTATTCACTTTTGAGAAAACGTAAACACAATTGACCACAATTACAGTATTAAATCTTTGAAATACATTATAATTGTACTGTACTCTACAGGGTCCACTAGAATTAAAAATACAATTGCTTCGAATGGTGGTTCTAAGTTTCCATATGTATCCAGGTAAACCACTAAGTTTCCCTTTTCTTATAAGCAGTCCAGTGGGTACCTGGTCCCGTAGATGTATCCAAATTCATAATTCCTCTTTCATTGGTTTTTATTTTTTTGGAAGTTTATCTCGCATGAAGACTCCTCGAAAATACGGTATTTTTAAACGTTTTGCATACCTTTCCAGCTCAACGTTTGTTAATGGGTGACCATTTGGAATTGAAACTTTAGCCACTTGTTTTGTTTTTTTCAGTGACATTTTCCCTTATCTCACTACTGGTTTTAATTAATGTATGGTTTCAGGAAAAGGCCCATTCCCGTTTTATAGGGTTTCAAAAACATTCCCTTTCCAAGTGCTACAGCTTCCATCATTTTATTATGACGTTGAGATTCTTGTAATTGCTGCTTTGCGGATTTTGCATCATTGACAGCCTTAGCAATACCAGCAGCACCACCAGACAAAGCACCAAGGGCTGATAGGCCAGCAAAAAATGGGATTAGTTGGTAGTATACCTCCTTTCTTCGTATCCCCCCACCCCCCCCCCCCCCCCTTCCACTATAAGATTTGGCGGCTTTTTTAAACCTTTTTTCAAATTTTGTGCCTCCATAAACGACTAACAAGTATGCTTCTACAAAGGTAGTAGGTTTTGATCTACCACACGTTTCCCTATTTGTTGTAATTGCGCTAGATAGAAAGCTAACTTTACTTCTTTTTATTTTTACTATGCTCGATATACTTTTCGTTTCTTCTTAGTCTTTATTTTTTTTTTCTGCTGCTGTGATCGTTTGTTGTTGTGTGTTGTCGGTCAATTGTAGCTCTTTTCTTAGGACTGACATTCTTCGTACGTACCATTTTCATACTAATTTGGATGTGTAGATTAATAGGTATTTATAACTTTAACTTTCCTAGGTATGTTACTATCATCATCATCATCATCATTATCACGATCATTATCATTATCTGGTTGAATCTTCCGTTTTCTATTTTTTGTTTCCATGGATGTGAATTACGTCACTTATATCTAACTTGCGTTGTTGTTGTTCGTTTTCTTCATTATCAGATTCTCTCTTACGTTTTGTATTGCATTTTTTCTCAGGAATTATAATTGGGATCATCCAAATCTATTTTTCTTTTTTTCACTTTTTCATCATTCAATGAAGTACGAGTAGTAGTAAGGCTGAATCCAGTTTCCTCTTTTTTGGTTTGTTCTTTTGTCCTTCTTCTGCTATATCAGTGTCCATGTATTCAATTGGAGTCTTGGTTTTTTCTTCTCTTGATTTTTTCATTTATGCTTTCTAAAGCAGACTTTGGTTTTCTGCCACGTTTATTCTCTTAACATTAGGTTTTGTTTTTCGTTCACGCTTTACTTTGAATGTTTCATGTTTTACTACAGAGTTATTTTTGGTTTCGTGTTTCTTGATTTCTCTCACTTCTCGTACTTTTTTCTCTCTAGATTTACTTTTCTCCTTAACGAATCATACCATTTCCGAGCATTTCCACGAAGTCTGCTTGTTGCTAATTTAATTGTCAATTGGTCATCCCACTGGTATAACTCACGCAACTGATCAACCTTGTTGACCCAGTCTATACATTGTCTATTTGAGGGGTTAAACTCAGGTATTAGCAATTCATCGATATTTAAACTACTGTATGCAGTACTTACAGGTTGCTTCTCTAACAACTTGTTTTTGAATTTGAGTTCTTTTCGTAAACGTTTTACTCGCCTACGATGTCTCCTTCCATCGTCCGTCGAAGAACTTGAACTGGACTGAGAGCTAGAGGATGAACTCGTCTTCCATTTTGAATCACTCACTTGTAGAACTTGTACGGCACGTGAATAATTCCACTTCTGATTTGTCAAGAATAAAACGTCCGGGATCAATAATCATGTACTCTATTTTCCTTTCCAAAATATTCTGTCCAAAAATACCTCGCACATCGGTCGTAAAAACCACGCTCTTCTCTTTTTTGCGTTCTCCTCTACCCGCGCCTCTCGTCCGACACCACCGCCCGCAATCCTTGTCCCTTGGCTCCACGGTAGTACCAGTGGCGCATCAAGAATGTATTTCTAGTTTGAAGATTCATCACAAGATATTCAAATCGCACATCTTTTTTAAACAGTTACGTGTGTAATTACCGAGGAAGAAAAGCTCGCAAAATTAAAGTTGATCTTCCTTACAGGTAAGTCAATCAACTTATCAATTGTCGGGCTTTGAAGCTAACAGCTATTTTTAAATTCAAATATTATACGGATTTGCTGTATTCTGAAGTATCAAGATATACTAAATGATAGAGAATAATTGATATTAGAGTATATTGCCATATCAAACTCATTTTTCGCA